TAAGAACTGGTAGTGTTTTACAAAATTATTAATAGTCTGGATTGTTCAAATTATTTATCTTGGTAAGTACATTTGCATGATTACATATATGCAATATGGTGGAATGTTTTAAACAGATAAGAGTTTTGTGTCATGTCTTTACAGTTTCCTTAATAGTTTGCAGTAACCTTTAGCTGAGCTCAGTGTAATTGGTGAATGATGGTATTCAAAACTACAGTTGTCATGGATGCTTCATAGATGGGTAAAAAAAAATAGTCTAAATGAGAAGATAAATCTAGATTTACCGGTAATAAAAATACTAGAGGAAATGTCTTCCTCAGCTTCCTCTGGATTGTCATACAAAATATTTAAGAATGGTATTCAGGAAGATTTGTTCTGTATTAAATACTATCAATAAGCGTGTTTAAATTTTAAAGAGAATTCTCTGGAGCAATACGTAGATAAAACCAAACAAACACAAAACCAGTATTTTGCATTTTAAATGCTATAAATGATTCAATTGGCATGACTCACTAAAAAGCTAATAAAGTGCAGCCTTCTAAAGATTTTTAAAGTAAATTGTTTCCCCTTTTAGTATTTTCTGTATGAACAGGTTTTTTATTTATCTTTTTCACTTAAGTCTTTATGAAAAATAGTAAATAGCTGACAAACTGTTTTGTGGAATAACCCTAATTTGGAAATTAGTGGCCCAGCTAGTTAAAAGGAATTGTGACCTGTGCCCACCATTAATTATCCTCCTTGCAGAGATTTAAAATGGAACCCCACAGAAAACTACCCCTTTGTCAAAAAGTGCCTCTTTCTCTAAGAATTCTGAATTTCTGGAAGAGATGATCACTAAAATGAGCGGGAGCAGCTCCTAAATAGCATCCTTTGGAATGCTAGCAAAATGGTGTATTGTAAGAGTTTCTGAAAGGACTGCCTTCCAGATATTGTAAAGAAACTTGATTTTTATTTTATCATTTCCTATTAGTTTGGTGTTGCAAACCAGGTATTTTAGCTTAGCTGTACTTCACTTAATTCAAGATGAGTTTAAGGACCTGCTCAGCTTTACCTTTCACTAGTTTGAAATTGCTCCAAACTTCCAAAGACAAAAGAATATTATAAAACAGAGCTTTGGAGCTAGTTTATATAGAGAGAGATTTACAGTTTTTAAAACAAGAAGGGACTGTTTTCCTCTGGTCCGATGTGCATACCATAGGCCAAAGAATCTGACTCAATAATTTCTGCACCTTCTGTACAAACTGTAATTTATCGTTGTTTACAAATAATCCAGAAAAGATTTCAAATTATAAAAGATTTACCACACATTCCCAGGTAAATTCTTCCAGTGGTTACTTGCCTTTACTGTCAAAAATACGTACCTTTCTTTAATTTGTCTAGCTTCAACTTCCAGGCATTAGGTAAAAATATGAGGGATAAAGTCTTTGTTGCATTTAAATTCCACTGAGTGCAATAGAATGGGGAACTGCTATTATTCTGCATATTTATACCTGCCTCTGGAAATTTCCAATACATGCATCTGACAAAGTGGGTCTTTGCCCACGAAAGCTTATTGCTCCAATACATCTGTTAGTCTATAAGGACTCCTTGTTGCTTTTGCAGATCCAGACTAACACAGCTACCCCTAGGATACTATTATCCTGTTAATATTCCAATTCCTTGCCCACCTACAACCTGGAGGACAGCTGCCAGTGGTCCACTAAATGTCAGATGGAGATTGCAGAAGCAATTTTACTTCCACCACTCTCTTTGCTTATCCTCTAATGTGAAGGAACAGCAGAACAACTTCAGTTTTGACTCTGATGAGGCTGCAGGCAAATAGGTCTTCCTACGTGCAACAAACTGTGGGATCAGAAGCCTTAGTAACAAAGCTCAACTCACCTAGGAAGTTTAAACCTCGACCCTGCAATTGGGTGTACCTGGAAGAAATGCTGTGCCTTTACTGTTAACCTGGCTCCACCTGGGCTATACATTCTGCTTGCACAAAAGAAGTTGCAAGCTTGGGCTTTTTATTTTCTGATAATGATTTACTGGCTAGCCTAAGTAAGGATATTGGGAAGTGATCCAGGAGTTTTCTAATGATTTGATCTGTATAAACAAGTACTGTGCTTAAAATTTACTCTTATTGTACAGATTGCTCTCAGAATAATCAATATGTTCTGGCTGAAGCATATTGTTTAATATTACATAGTTCAGCATAAATTAACATAGTGCAGCTTTGATTTTGGGATCAATGCCTATAAATATGTTGATGTTGTGATGTCCATATGGAAAGTTAAAGAATGGTTTGTCTGATGGAAACAACTTGCTTAAATGGATCTATGTAGGTTGACTCCCACTGAAGGAGCTGTGGGGGAGAAAAGATTCACTTCCAGGGATCCAATGAACTGACTGAAAAAAAAATGCAAAAATGCGATTCTTATGTCCAAACTTATGAATTCAAATTTCAGCCTCTTGGATCACAAGTATACTTGTGTGACGGGGCGGTCCCGCCCCGCACTCAAGCCCAGGGAAACCACCTGGAGCCGGGGGTGGAGAGGGCCCCACCCACACAGCCCTACTGGGCATGCTCCGAGGGGAGCCAAGATATAAAAGGCTGCTGGCCTGCTCAGAAGGGGCAGACTACGGCCCGA